ATGTATACATGCATGAAGGGGAATAACATGCATATATATGTACTAAAGTTTGATGTATTTAAATCCCAACACGGAAGGGGAAAAATATTTTTCCCTAAGAAATTACATGATTACTAACTTCTTGAAAAGGAAAATTTATAAAATGTACTTATGTCTTATACAAGCAGTTGAAATCTGTTGCCAAATGCATTTAAACAACGACAATGCACGTGAAACAAAAATATGCCGGGGTTTCACCAGAATATCGTCCCATTCATTTTAATCTATTTTATGGTGTCAATGAACAGATAAAGATCGACAACTTTCGATTGAAAGATGGTTAAAGTAGTAGGCCTACACTTATATATCAACTAGCTATATAGAACATATAAATATGTAGCGATTATAATTAAGAGTAAATAAGTATATAGACAACTCGCCGACAATTTCTCTACACACCGTTTTAGGGAATGTATATTTTCCAGTATTTCATTCTCAATATGCTTTTGACATATTCTCATCGCAATTTCCTTGGCCCAGGTATTAATCTCTTTGGCAGTCGCAGTGTTTATATTTCGTAGTTTACAAACTGTTGTCATATACATCAGTGTCATAAACACTACATTTATACCTTCGTTCTGTTCAATCGCTCTGTGCCCGGCAATCGTCTTAGAGAGCGAAGGCACATTTTCTAGGGATAACACATCGATATTGGGTTTTTTATTTGGCGCAGACATAATGATCTGCGCATCAAACAGTTGAATTTTGAATGGCGAAGTATATCTTTGCTTGTGAAGAACGAAGGAATGGGTAAGATAATGGATATATACGACGTCATTTGGCTCTAAATTTATATTAAATGAATGACGTAATATATATAGCCTCGTATTGAGGCTGGTGCATAAATTTTAAAGAGTAGATTTGGCAAAATATTTTACGTAAATTTCGTCAATTTAGTAATGCATGCAACTACATTTTGATAAATTTTAAAAAGATTTTCACTGTTTGATAGATTCTCTGAATGTTCTTTATATAATATAGACATGCTAAACTGATCCTGTTAATTGAGAATGAATATAATACCACAGTACAGAACGAAGCTCTCTATACATTGCAAAACTGGTTAATACCAAATATATATGACGTGTCGCCTTGTCAGAAACATGACATCACCAATATTTTTGTCGAAGAAGTATACCTCAGTTGTTCACAAATTTGGGATAAGTTGTTATCATTCATGTTGTAACAAGGTTGACGAGCAGGGAAAAACACTCGCAACAAGTTGTTCCAACAAGTCTGATATCGTCTATACGTATAACACGTAATTGTTACAAGTTGACGGCAACAAGCTCTTAGCAACTTCTCGCCAACAGTCTGTATTAGTCTTGTTGGAACCTAATTGTAACAAGGCGATAACAACTAGTTCCAGACAAACACATTCATAAAATCGGCTTGACAACAAACTTGTTACAACTTGCTTGCCGATCTGGAACAACTTGTGCGTTTTTGTCTGACCATATATGTAGCAAAGACTATATACATCAGTAAAATCTGGTAAAGTTTGTGCAAATCCTAGATGTAATTACAGGTAAACTCGTGAAGCGTTCCTCTTTTGACTTCGTAACTCATTTGGAATTTTCCTCATTAGCTTTGCAAATTTGAAAAACTCTTTGCAAATCCCTTGAGGGAATTTGCAATGTTCCAAACTTCATTTTAAATTTTCCTAACTTCCTGTTTTAATTTCTTAACTTCCTGTTCTGTTCTGAGCGTTGTTATTGGTCGATTATTTTTGTTAGCCAATTGCAACGCCCAGAACAGAACAGGAAGTTAGGAACTTGTAACAGGAAGTTAAGAACTTCTAACAGGAACTGAGGAAAATTATTTTGGCTTTTAGCAACATTGCAAATTCCCTCAAGGGATTTGCAAGGGAGTTTTTTAAATTGCAAAAGTAATGAGGAAAATTGCAATCAATTTAGAAACTCGAAAGAGGAACGCTTCACGTAGTTTACCTGTAAGCATCATGAACTTTGCCAATAATGTGAATGGATTCATAACCGCATTCCTGAAATTCAACTTCCTGGAATTCAATTTCCTGTTATGTTATATAGTTCCCGGAACTACCATGGCAAACAGTATATATACATTCAAGTCCTGAACTATAAGACTGTAAGACCTTTGGAACTATAAAGAATCAATTTATATGATCGTTTGGATTTTTTCTGCTAAAAGATAGTACCTTGACAAGAATGTTACTGCATATAGGTAAATCGATTTTCATACTTTTATAGTAATTTTAATACATGGAAATAAGCTATTATATTAAAATGTGCTTTCGACTGTGTATACTAGGGTTGTTATTGAATCATATTGACCAAGTTAAGTTTCGTGCAAAATCCAATGGCAATGCCAATGCATGGTGTATAAAATTTCTACATGCAGTACAGTTTTCTCTAATGGTGTGTAATGTGTTATCGTGTGTTGTGTCAATACTGAAATCTGCCCTAGCCTAGTTCGTTCTTAAGCTCGAACATTCAAAGTGAAAGTGCATGACAAAGCTTTTAATAGAAGCGTAAGTAAAGGGATTATAAATTATCTGGCCATTATTTTACTTACCACTTGGTGTTAGAAGGCTATTTAGAGATAAATGTCGAGGATTGGAAAATTTATATATGTGAGTGCAAGTTTCAGTTCAGTGACGGTCGACTGGTTACTTAGGAAATTGAAAGTGAGTTTTTAAGTTCGGACAAAGTGAAAGCGACAAAGCTCTATAAGACAAAATTTTAAAGCACAACCTTTCCTTTATACTGTTATGATGGTAATTTGAAATTTAAATTTAATGACTGAAACTATGACTGAGGGGATTATAAATTATTTGGCCATTCTTTTACTTACCACTTGGCCTATACAGTTATCAATAAGACAATATAGGATATCAATGTTGAGGATTGGAAAAATTTAGACTAAATATGTGAGATATAATGCAAGTTTCAGTTCTGTTCTTGGAATCTGCACTGCATGCAGTAGCGAGAAATTTTACTAGCCTATGTTAAAGTCTAAACAACAATTATTTCAGGTCTTTTATTTTAACAAATTGCCTCAACAGCATTAGAATTAGAGCAAGAACGATATAAATCTCATCAAGGTAAATCAAATATGGTATATATATTCAATACATTACCTTGAAATGAATGTTATTAATAATGAGTAAATCAATTTTCATACTTAATCGGAATTCTAATACATAGGAATATATATAGCTATATTAATATTAATATCAACATGTGCTTTCGACTTTGTTTGCTATATATATATAGGGTTTATAATTATGGCATCAGACCGACCAAGTTAAGTTTCGTGCAAAGTCCAATGCATGCATGACAATGCCAATGGCAATGCTGCGGTATAAAATTTGTGTATTACAAATTTCTTTCTAATGTCGTGTAATGATATCCTCTCGTGTGTTGTGTCAGTATAAATATACCGAAAGCTGCCCTAGCCTAAAATTAAGTTAGTTTTTAAGCACGAACGAAGTGAAATAGACAAAGCTCTAAGACAAAATTAAGCACAACCTAGCTTTCCTATATTATAATTATACTTTATTAATGCAACGTGACTGAATGCAGGATTATAAAGCTAGCCTCCTACGTCGTGACTTCTTGGAATCTGCACTGTAGTAGCGAGAAATGTTAGCTGTGTTAAAATCTAGACAACAATTATTTCAGGTCTTTTATTTTGACAATATACCTTTTAACAACACCATGCAGAATTAGAACATTAAGAACGAAATAAATCTTGACAAGGTAAATCAAAATAATATGATATTCCTTGCAGTATAAATAATTATAGTCAGAGTATTTAGTACGCGGTGAGTATCACAGTGCACATATATAGTGCATGTGTGTTTGTTATTAAGGTCTGAGGATATTGACATTAAATTTATAAGGGTTTTAAACTGTCTAAGCTTTTAGTGATTAGTGGACCAGAGACAATGTTGCGCATGTATAAATAGCAAAAATAATGACAATGTGATGTTACAATATTTTCCATAAAATATTCTTTTCTATATGTATATGAGAGTAAGGTACTGCAGTACATTTAAAATGTAAAATTTTGCATGTATTTAGCATCCAGCAAGGTCGTTCATGAATGGTTGGTATTTTATATTTGGATGTCGAGAAAGCAGCCGCATTCCAGCTCTTAATGATATACATGCTATAACATGAAGGGTTTGTGTATATTGAATACAAAGAGTGAAAAAATTATAAGCTAAGGTTTATATACTATTCTACCTGCAGACAAAGCAAAATTGCCGTCTTTTCGCATTATCGTATAATGATAGTACTGTACTCTGTAGCTTTGGTTCTTGTTCGAATTAAAAGGAAGTATTTAATAATATTTTTTTAATTTAATTTAACACCGATTAAATGGAGTAAAATGCACAGATTAATACAGTTTACGTTGCACTTTAGTCTTTAGCTACTTTTTAAAAAAAAAATAATCCAGGGTTTGATTTGACAAAAAGATATATTTCGATATATTTGAGAGGAAATGAACTTTAACCCTAGATAGTTTGATGTAAGCTAGGGGAAGGCCGAAGGGAAAACTGTTTTCCCCAAATTTCATTGTGAATTAAATGAGGGGAAGACTATCGATATTTTCTCTAAATATCACCAAGACATTGTCTAAAAATTAAGACACCTTCTACTGTACTGATAAAGTGTACTGGTATATTTAAGTGTACTTAAACAACAATATAATAAACAAACAAACTGAATTTGATGTATAAATTTTAATATCCTCCAAATGGCGGAATAGTTCCTAACTCGTTTCCTTCATTACACGCTATATATGAAACTATATCTGTTTATAACTCAAGTCTGAATGGTGCAAAATTAACCGGCAAAGTACCAATTTTAGAACAAAAATGTATCAATTAAGATATGTATGCAGGAAACTTACAGATAAACATTGCACTGATGCTCGTAAGGAACGCCAAAATGCCAACATTTCGACTGATTTTTGTCTTTGGCACTTCCCTTTTCGAATTTCTGTGAGACAAATCTGGATCTCCTCGGTATTGAAAGGATCAACTCCCTTCAAAGCAGCTGCAATGAATGATAAACTCCGAACATCAATTCCCGAATTTCGTTCAATTTCTTGATGCTCAGCAATCATGGGGAAGGGACATTTATTTTCTGACAAAAACATTTCCTGGAGAGTTGTCGTTCTGTTTTCTTTTATCCCGGACATTAAAGGTAACAGTCTAGTTCTATAGTTTCGTTTCAGGTCGAAAGCTGTTGTTGACCAAACCGGTATTAATAAAATAAATTACGTCATTTTTATACAACGTTTTATAAATAGGTGAAAATCGATGCGCATGACAAATTGGTCATGACATGCAGATAGATCTTATAATTGTAGCCCCGTTTAAACGAGGATGAGAAAAAGGTGATGTGATGTGATGTGGAGTTGAAAGCAAGAGTTTGCATGATAGTTTTTTTATCTCTTATTTCCCGATCAAACGAGAAGAATATTGACATGGGAATTGGTGGTAGAAAAGGGTGTGGTGGAGGAAAGGGGGACCTTGATCTACAGCCACTACAAAAATAATATATTAACGTGCATGCATGTTGCGTGTATGTATGTAATGAATAAGGCTGCCATAAAACGCTTTTTAACCTATCAAAAATAACACTATATATGCAAAATTTTGTTAAGGGATATGAGCTGATTATTATGTAAAACTGCAGAATCAATAGACAATTCCCATTATAGACTAATTTTAAAACTAGGCAAGGAGATGCAAATAAATCACCACAGCTAGAAAGAGCATACTAAAATTAGTAAAATTACAAAATTTGGTTGCGAAATGTTGTAAAATGTGGAAAATATAGCCTTGCAAAATTTGCAAATTTTGTATACTTTTGTATTGCGTGCGACATTTTCGGCCTAAATGTGGTAGGAATGTGGTAGGAATTTCCGCAAGCAATACAAAAGTATACAAAATTTGCGAACTTTACAAGGCTATATTTTCCTCATTTTACAATTTTTCGCAACCAAACTTTGTAATTTTACTATTTTTAGTATGCTCTTTCTAGCTGTGCTGATTTATTTGGGTTTCCTTCCCTAATTTTAAAATTAGTCTATAATGGGAATTGTCTATTGAAAAAGTAATCCGTGCTGTGATCGAGATATCCACATTAGAGAGATTTCCGCATTGTCGATGTGTCCGTATTAGAGAGGTGTCTGTATTAGAGGAGAGGTTTCCGTTTCAATTAGAGAGCTATTTGTTTTATACTGGTGTCCGAATTACAGAGTTGTCTGTAGAGAGGCCTAGGTATTGATATTGTAGATCGTGGTCGCATTATTGATGTATACGTATTAAAAAGGTGCTCGTGTTAGGGAAGGGTACAGAGGTATCGATATTAGATCACTATCCGTATTACAAAGTTGTTGTATTAAAGAGGTGTCCTTCCCTCACATCAGGAAGGTATCAGTATCCAAGAGGTGTCTTGATTAGAGGGGTGTCCGTATGTTGAACATGTGTCTATATATACTGAATAGGTGTCCGTATTTTAGAGAAGTACTACTATGGGGTATAGCATTAGAGAAGTGTCCGTACTAGAGATATGCTCGTAAGTAAAAGTTTGAGCGATGAACAAGACTGGAATCGTAATCGTGTAAGAAAAATCATTGCCGGGCATGAGGCGCATAAAAAGCCATAGACGAAACGTCAGTTCTTAATAAATATTTTAACATTTTATCTGTAACAGCATATTTACGTGCAATATGTATGGTGTTGATTTTCATCAAAATACTTTTTTATTTCTTTTATCGCTGAATTGAAATTTGATATGTTTCTTGTAGTCCAGTCAAATCACTATACGTACATGGTCCTGATCAAAGTAATCGCAATAGATTTTTTTCAGTGGTAAAGTGTGTGAAAAGTTGTTCTGATTAACATATTAAAAATCCAAAAAAATCGCTTCGGTGGAACATGGTGAAAATCAAGTTTTTCTTACTTCTACCTATAGAAAACCATTGCGGACAAAATGTTGAAATTTTGAAATTATTTTTTTGCAAATATAACATGCATCATTGGAAAGCTTAGAAAAAACTAAAATATAGATCATTAAACGATTACCTTGCTTTTGCCTATCCAGCCGAAGTTATACAAGATTTAAAATGCCATAAATTTGTATTTTGTGCAAATTTTGCGCTATTTTTCCAACTTTGAGCTAGAATAACGACAAACTGACCAGTAAATTGAATATAACAGCTTAATTGACCTTAATATAGTTTTGTTTAAGCTTTCCGATAATGTATGTTACATTTGCCTAAAAATGATTTCAAAATTTGAACATTCTGTCCACAATGGTTTTCTATAGGTAGAAGTAAGAAAAACATGATTTTCACCATGTTCCACCGAAGAGATTTTTTGTGATTTTTAGTATGTTAATCAGGACACCTTCCCTCATATTTTACCACTGAGAAAAATTCTATTGCAATTTCTTTGACCTCTGGTCACAGATTGACTGGACTATTGGCATGTTCAGTAATATTCATCAGAGCCTGAAACCTGAAAAATTGCCAGCACAAAAATGGAAAATGTATCAAACAGCTTACAAATATATGTAGTTGCAGGCAATGTGGACGCTGCACCATAAAATAGATCGACGATGACAACTCGGTCATCTTTAGCCAGCTGACTGTCAATTACCAAGGAGCCATACACAAAACACCTGACGCTTAGTGGGGTAGGCGGGGGGGACGCTTGATCAATAGTCGCAAAATGTCACAAGGGGGTATCCCATAGCACTGTCACGTGACGGAGTCACGGAGATAAGATAATTTGTTGTAGAATCCATACCATGAAGTAGAGAGATTGCTTACACAGCAGAACCCTTGAATTTTGCTGTTCCTTCCATATCGTTCCTCCAGCACTAACCTGCGACCAGGCTTTTATTTCTCTCGCGGCGAGCAGCAAGACAAATGAAGAAAAATGAAGGCATTTGGACGTTTACTCAATATGGCACTCGATCACAGACGCAACCATGTTTGTCAAAAACAAACATGACGGAAGCAGATACATGCACGATCTTTGTTTTTTTTTCAGCCATAACTAAAATAATAAGTAGCATGCGTTAAACAAACCATTTGGGATGGTGGTGCTCTCACTGTGCCCACAAAGGACAAGCTGAAAATTACTTGACCGCTGTGGGAATCAAAGTGACATCGAACCCACGAGTCCAATTCTCTACCTACTGAGCTATATATACGACGTCAAGTCGGTTCGAGTAGGTGCACATGATATTTCGGTTCGAGTGCATGCAGGGTGATATTTCGGAGTACATTGCACCACAATCATTGCTTGACTGCTGGAGTCAAAGTGATCAAGAGATAGATACAGATATCGAAGGAACTAGAGTGAGTTCCGAAATATCACCCACTCGAACTGACTTGACCTCGTAGCTCAATTGATGGTAGAGCTTAATTGAAGCCAGGTTCACATATACCTGCGGTGTATCGGCGGGCTATTGTCGCTAGCAATTCAACCAAATAATTCACAAACGAATGTATGCATCAACAGCTGTAAACAACGATAACGCAGGCATACCACAGGCATATATAAACCAGGCCAACCTCGTTCCCAGGGCTTTAGTGTGAGGACGAGGGGAGAGACGAGAAAGCCCTGGTCTGGGCCGGTCAATTTTGCATTCTGATTGGCTAACACCATGTTGTCTAAAAATAACTGAACTTGACAGTTGACAATAACAATTCAACATTTGTATTTTTATAATTCTTGTGTGTATCAGTATGTTTTGCAAAATTAAATAATCTTTCAAAGTAAGACGTTTTCCAGACTGCATGATTTACTTTCGCCTCGGCCGGTTACAAAACTCAAAAGCCGTGTCGACGTGAGCTGTGATATTTCCTGACAAAACAAGAAACGTCTACTACTATTTAAGCTGTAGTTTTCCTTGTACAGTATTTATATTAATGTAGTGCAGACGTCTGATGAAATACTACGCGTATTGCATTGTAGTAATATTTTAATTTACAATATTCTATACTGATCGACAAATAAAAGCAAGACAAACAATTAAATGAAACTACTAAATTAATTTAGGCCCTGTTTTAAAACTTAATAGCTGTACGCCTAGGCCGATGTAGTCTCTACAACTATACAAGATTCGTCACGCCACCGAGATTTACAGTTTCAGAATACCCCGAATACTTGAAAATTGCGACTATACGATAAAATAAAACATAGATTGTGAAGGGAATAAAATTTGTAAGCAAGCATTGCTCCTGAACGGCAAGTGCTGGTGTCCGGCGAAACAAGCGAATCCATATATTCCTGTACAGCGTAAACAGGTTACCCGAGGTTTTATATTTGTGTTTATTTATATCAAACTAAGTCAGATCTATAAGAGCATATTTAAACTAAATATTAAAGGCAATAGCCATATTGTTCAAGACGAGAGAAAGGAAATTTCGTGTGAATCACCACTTGCATGGAGACGCCTAGATGCAGCTTGGATGCAGCTTTGCCTGTGGTTGAAAATCTCCAGAAATATCGGTATATCTTAGAAAACATAGACGGGGTCTTCAGAGATTTCAGCTGATTCGTGCCAAACTTCGCTATACATAAATAATATCGATTGAGAAGTCTTTTGGCGCTGTTTATTTGTTTCGAAGACTTGCATATTTCATTAAAGAATATCTCGCCACTCCTTGACGAGTAGCTGTCAAATACTGCCATTTTTTGGGTAGTCATGTGACCGGCCCAGACCACATGGCGAGAAATTGTGGACATTAGGGGGCGGAGCTTAAGTAAATATATTCTGCGTTCATAAATGTCTTGCTTTCCATCAGGGACTTATATCGCTTTTTAAGCCACTGAGGAATATTTATTGGATGGTTAAACCTCCATTCATAAGAATTTTTAGCTGGTTGGGGCAAACAGAAACGCTAGGCATCCTAAACGTTTCAGTGTTTATATGTTTTGCCTGATTGACCCATCTGACCTTTGCGCAAAAAATTATATACCCACTATTACCCGCATGTGAAGCCTTACCGACAATGTTTACGAATATATAATATTTTGTTGCCTAAAAACTATAAGGCATGGTTACAAAGCTCTTCTTCTGCAAAGAGCATACAAAATGGAGGCATATTTCGAAGAAGAACGACCAATTTCGGTTTGTTTATCTTCACATTTTAGGCAAGTTTCAGTGCGCGGTGTCGAATTTCACGGTTAAAATACATCGAGATTGCACTGAAATTATGTTAAAATACCGAACCAGGTATTAATCGCAGAGATTTGACATGAATTGTCCCCAGAAACACAGTGTCAATACAAGCCAAAAGAGATGCAACTTTTTGCGTCCGTAGCTCAGAAGAGTAAGAAATCAGAATTCATTGTGGCCCGCTTGAGGTATGTTGCCTATTGCGCTAT